CCTCTGTACTGTTTATGAAATCACCGAGTCACCTTGGATCCCCAGCTACCTGTAGGGGAATTATACTTTAAGAGTGCACGTGGCCTCTTCTCCTCTATGACCATGTGCATATTCTTTCCATGAACCACAACAACAACAACAAAAAACACTAATTATGAAAAACCACTGAGATTTCCTATGTAGAGAGAATGGAAATACACCATTAAAGCGAGATAATAAACGACAATTTTGACGATGATTTACACCCCATATGCACGACGCTTAAGTTTTTAATATTTTCTGTATTGAATGTTGAATTTGCGGCGCCAAGGCAAGCATTGTAATGTCTCGGGAAAATGGAATGGCATGGACATTGCGGAGCCACCAACTTTTGCAATGCAACCATTATCGAGCGAGTTGTTATTCTTCGTTTTCACGTCAACAGAGCCTAAGGCATAAAGTGAATTAATGCAGCAGCCGAACCCGTGCGGTACAGAGCATAGTCACCTCCCCGCGTTGTTACGTTGCTTGAGTTTACATGTTTGGCAATAATGATTACGACACGATCAGAGACCATTCGGATTTATGGTTGCCTAGTGGTAGCTACAACTATGGTTTGAAACAATTGGGAAGGATACTCTGACATAAAGTATGTTGCTGATTATTAATAACTATGAATTAAAAATAGCTACGTGTATTACTTCTTGGCTACACGAACATAAAATACAAATACACAACATGTGTTTTTTTCTGTATTGTGTCATCTTGATGTGGTCTTCACCACTGCAAGGTGCAATCAATCACGTTTAAAAATGAAACATTAAATACATTGGTAAAATGTGAATGGATTGTACAACTCAATCACTATATCAGATGAAACATGAAAAGAATATCGAAAACTAAAGAAACCCAAGAATCACAATCGATCATTTGCACCTCCGACGCTCTATGTGGATGATGCGGGGTTGTGGCATGGAAGCATTTGGCAGCTTGACTCACTGAAGCTGCGCGCCGGGGTCCCTGGAAAGGGAGTTTGCCGTGGCCCAGCAGAAGCACATTCACGGGTTATATCCGGGAGGTTGCCCCGGTTAATACTGTTGGCGTATTTACCATAAAATACATTCTGTCTGCTTAGTGGTGGATCCAAGTGAGAGGCAATAGGGGTGGTCACCCACTCCCCTCGCCACTGCGACCCCAAAAATTCGTAATGTATTGATATTTACCAGAGGTATTTTATGGGGTTTTTTTGTTCTACATATTAATGTTGGGGTCATATTTATAAAGCCTGACATTTCAGGATCTCACCCGGGAAGCTTATAGATCCACCTCGGCATCTTCTTCACAGTGGACGTTAAAGACTTCACTCCTGAGAGATAATTCACGGAAGTATAGGCCGCTGTGTGTTGGAATGATGACCAAAATTTTCTAAAACGACTTGCAAAGTTACTTAATTGAGAAACGCATCCCTGCCATCACCCCTGCAGCTAAAACGTAGCAGGACCCTCCTTAAAACGAACCTTGAGACTCAATGCGGCTTTCCTGAGCAAAACAGTGTCATGCTAAAAAAAAAGGTGAGCTTCGAAACGATTCGTAAGAACGGTGTCTGGGGAAGTGACTCCTGTGCTGATTACCATAAGTGTCACGAGGGAGGGAGAATGTGAAGGTAATATAGGGCGGTGTGTTATAACACGGGGACTTGTGAGAGAGAAGCAGAGAGACATTGTATTGCCAGGGTGAGTTTACGAAGGACTACATTGACCACATTTGATTGTAGTGAAGTCAACGTGAGTTCCTGTGACAGGCGCACTTTTTGTGTTACTATACGAGTCAGAGCTACGTACACTTTCACAAAAAATTGGAGAATATGCTTCTGACCTGTGAACATAGGTGCATGCCAAGAACACTCTGCATTTCACTACAGGATAGGTTTAAGAAATTGTAAGTGTGGAATCTGGCCGAGAGTTATTGGAGTCAAATAAGGAAATGGAGGTTGTGAAGTGTGAAGTATGTGTGGGTGATGGTGGAGGACAGGTTGACTCAGCCTCATATTAGTACCTGGTGCGGGGTGTAAACATCGTCACTCGGGAGACAAAGGCGGTCGGGCGTGGTGCTGGCCACCCACCCCCTCGTGTGTCGTGCTGGCCTTCATAGGTGCTGCTCGCTAACAGCACTTTCCCCAACAGTCTGTTCAAGACATAACGGGGGATCTTTGTCTTTGGAGGGTTGGTTTCCCAGTCGGGCACTGAAGGGAAGTCCAGCAGAACAGTAACCAAGCTAAGCAAAATAGTGAAGAGACTGTGAAACAGACCGTGTGTGCCTTTTATCAATGTAACCAACGGCAGGAAGCCATGGGGATATGTGGTTGCATCAACGGCACTGCCAGTGGTGCCCTCTTGACCTTTAATATGGATTATGCGTGTATCTGTTGAACTTCTTTTGCACCGTACGTATCCAAACGTGCTAATCGGAGGTGCGGAGGAAGGACAACAAACTAAACACTAAAAGCAATTCTAAAGAAATTAGTTTTCCTAATCTAGGAAGGAAAAGCGTTCCAGACGGCCGCAGAAGGACATATGAAAGAGCACAATGTGGTGACCATCTTTGTTCAATAGTTAACCAAAAGCCGCTGCTGCAAGGATGACCGGAGTTCATGTGGTGGTTTATGCTCCTTGACGAGACCAGCAAGGTATTGTGGTTCATTTGTGACGAGCACTTTGTAATGAGCACGACCTCATAATGTATTCGTTCGGCAACCGGAAGCCAATGCAGCCCAGCAAGCACTGGACGGACATGGTCAGATGTCATAAATAAACAGGTGACTGGGTGGCTCGTGAAGTGAATGCCCATTTCCGAGCACCAAGCCAGCACTGCTGAGGTCCTTAACGTCCACACAAATAAAGTGCATTAGGTCTTCATTGCATTCAGTGTCCAATAAACATGGTTTGCCAAGCCATGGTGCTTCTCTGGCTATGAAAATATGAGTTTCGTTTTTGTTACATGATATGATTCCAATAACAACCGGAATGTAATTACAGATTATGGCCTGGGAATGTATAAGTTCTAAATGAATTGTCACCAAAAAAAATAGAGCAAAAAAAAGGACACGTGGGAAACAGCGAAATGTGCATGCCTGGGGAAAGTATGAAAGTTGCTCCAGATAAAAAAAAATACGAAATAGAGAGGGAACACGTACAGGAATGAGTGCTTTAAAAAAACGAATATCACGAAAAAAGCAGCCTGTGAATGCACCTGAAGACGTTATTAATCAGTGCATATTAGCCACTAAAACAATAATCAGAAACGTGCACTCTGATAAAGAAAGCTAAAGCTGAACGTTGTGGCAAGCGTGTGGCAGTTGTATGCTTGGAATGACAATAAGATACAGAAGAAACACTTGGATCAGGGAACAAACACAAATGAGTGGCATTACATTGACCGTTAAAGGAAGTGGGCTTGAATAGTATGTAGCCAACCGTGCTAATCGGAGGTGCAGGGGGAAGGACAACAAACTAAACACAAAGTAGTTCTAAATAGATGAGACTTCGATTTAGATTTAAAAGTGCATACATAGCTCCAGTGGAATGATGGACGATTGACGCGGCTGGTTTATGGAATGGCAGCCAAAGGTGAAAATGCTCCAAAGATACCACCGTTCAGATGGAGCGATGAGATCAGCTTGTGTGTAGCAGTGAGACTGGTTTTTACCTTCGCCATGGTGGCTAGGAGATGTTATCTCCTTCGCCTGGTATGCAGGAGGTCGTGGGTTCGATCCCGACCCTGAGGCCTGTATGATTCGAGTTTGCCTGTCTCTCTGTCTCTCTCCCCGTGGTCACGTTCATTTTTCTTCGGGTCCTTAAGTTTTTAAGGACCCGAAGACTTTCATATGCCAGTGAATGTGCCCACTGTTTCCGGACAAGCATCTCGCGAGACCACGGCAACCCTGTGCTTTACAAATACACAGTTCAGCAGTGTATGTGTGTATCCTGAAGACTTGATCATTGTGAAATCTGATTTTGGTACAAGGCCGTGTACAGTATTTTGCCACTGAAGAGATGTCTGCTGGTAGAATTAAGGCACGTGTCACAGTAAATCATTTGTGCATTGAATTAATAAACAAGTTTGTGTCGAGTAAAGTTTATTGTAAACAGAACAGAACAAATGTGGATAGACAAACACTGCGCTGTGAAATATAAACAGTCAGACAGCAATATGTATGCACGTTGAACTTCTTTCGCACCGTACGTAGCTAACCGTGCTAATCAGTAGGTGGCTTTTTCTCTTCAGAAATTTACGCAAATGGATAATAAAGGGAATGACTGCAAAACAAACTCTATAATTCATAGAGGTGTGGTTTAAATGATTGAACAGCATACAGGGGATAGAGCATGCCAATGTAAGTAGAGTACTGTGAATGTATTATATTTTATTATAACTGCAGTGTGTGTCAAGTCATACTCAGCAACGCACAACTCGAGTTATATTCAATAGGCAACGCGCTTTTCAATGGGAGTGTGTTTACAAATGGGTTGCACCATTAAGTTTACTGACTTGAATGTACGTACTTTATACAGCATTTAAACGTACATACCGACTAAAATGAGCACTTTCTACGACACTTTACGTGAGTTTACGAATGAGAAAAACACGGAATAACCTCGTTGTGTTCGAACTTCAGAGCACACAATAATATAAATAACAATGATTAGGAAACACAACAAGAAACAAGCTCAAGTGTTTCCATTGTGCCACGTTCATTGTCTCGGGTCTAAGCGACAGCACCGTAGGGTGCGGTGGGTTGGTGGGGAGTTCAATGAAGCCGTCTTACGTCTCAGGTGTGTGTGGGGGGGCGACTCTGCGGCTCGGTTAGGAGTCGCTCCACGGGCAACCGTTTTACAGCCATGCCGCCCAAACAAACATGCAAAGGGGGCCATCTCCAGGTAACCACCATGGCCAGTGCTCCGTTGCGAATCACCGTTGCACAACACACACGGTGGTGGTGGGGACGGAGCACAGAAAGACCGTGGGGGGTGGGTGGGTAGGTGGATCGGCGGGCTAAACGGTAATGCCAACTCGTCACTCATCCTGCGCTTCGCAATTTAAAGTGATGTCACCACCGGCTGTGTTTTTTTTTCTGAATAAACCGGCCAGAATTTCCTTTGCTTGGCCGCAGTTGCGAATTGGCGAGTGGCGATGATGGAGCGGAGGAAGAAGCGACCCACTTCTTACGACTTGTTGAAGATTCTTATTTTCACTCTCATTGGTTTTGCCAAAGGTAGGCTTGCTACTGGTGTTGAGCGTTCAATGTTTTGTGTACGTCATCTTAAGTACGGTTTCATATTTTAACTGGTGAAGTCTGTTGTTAAGAAAATGGAACAGCAATATACTCTACTTACAGAATATATTCCAGTGCAGTGCCTGTTACAATGTGCTGTACTGTGCTGGTGTTGAGGATACTGTTATTTTTACATCATATTCTAATTATACATGCATGAAATATAGCAATAACAACCGACATTCGCCACTAACTGATGGTGACGTACCACATGATTATTTGAAATTATAATTGTCAATTGGCTAAATGTATACGAACTCTAGTATTGGATTACAGAATGGTAATACTAAGAATTAGAGTGCACATATGGAGGCTACAGCTACGTGGTTTGTAAAACATTCTAAGTAGTGGAATGTCTATGACAATACGATGATAGCGGTTTCATTTCTACGTCATCATCAACAAAGACAAACACTGCCAAAATGGTGAAATTGTAAAATGTCCAAACGCTATATCGTAAATATATACTCACTTGTGGAAACCCATCAGAAAAGTCTCCAAATTTATCCAAATCTTTCCATACTGTTGGGAGCGGTAATCACATTGGCCGGCTGCTGTCATCATGATGATAGAAAACGTGTCAGTGTGCTTGGGGCCGGAGTTGCAAAGCTTGGCCACGTGACTGGATGGGGCAATATTCAAGATAGATTTTTCCCGTCTGGCGGAAATGTGGGTTTCTGTCGATCGCATGCACAACGGCCGTCGATGTTTTGAAAGTGTCCTGAGGGATACTTTTAATCTGCCTTTCTTGATGTTCACAACCACAATGTTCATTACCACAATGTACGGTCATTAATGCTGTTATTTTATTTATGTTTTAAAATGTCAGTCGTTTGGCTCAGTTGTAGGTTGATCGGCTCGCAATCGGAAAGTTGCGAGTTCAAATCTTGTTTGGCGCCTTGACTCAGCCCATCATCTCTCTGGGGTTGATCAAATTTGTCCCGTGTTGTGGGGATGTCCACAATGGTTTTCCTATGGATTGACTCATGCCTGCCATTGGAATGAGGAATTTTCACCACTGGCTCAGGGTAGAAAACAGTAGCTAACACTGCCTCACTTTTAAGACAGTGGTTAATTTAGTTTCTTCTGAACTAGACCCAGCAAGAGACAAAATGTAGTAAAATTAATTAACGGGGTAACGTAAAATGTAAAACGACAGTATGCAGCAGTGAGCCAGAACCAATGTGATTCGTTGACAACATCAACAACATTTTAAGAGACGGCACTGTCAGTCTAAGTGTTGCCCGTCCTGCCACTGCTGTAACAATGTCATGTGTAATGATTAATCGTGTTCATTGGAGTCTTCTCTTCTGAATGTCTGCTAATGCTCTCTTTTCCTGTACACGCACACAGAGGGAGACGGCATACTTACCTTTGGGTCGAATTTGCCAAAGATTGTTACTCTGCAAGAGAATTCCGCACCGATGGCCACTGTATATACTTTCACAGTTATATCAACAAACGCACTCTCGAGTGCGGGTCCTATCTTCTTCAACCCTAATCCCGCCAGCCATCCGTTTGTAATATCTCCCAGTGGCTCAACGACCCCCGCACCCGTTTCCTACACATACAGGGTAAGACATTCTAATTGTTTTTAATCGTCTGCCAGTTTGTACATTTTGTCTTTAAGGATGCGAGCATTATAAAAAAACGATTTAGAGAAAATGCGTGTTGTGCACACTTCAGACTATATTTACACATCAGAAATGTTTGTTGTGCGATACTGCATTGTCAGAGGTACACAGCCAAAGCGCAAATAACAGAAACTCCACACATTTGTCAATAACGCTGCCCTAGAAGGAAAATAATATGGAAATAAGTGACGTTTTGAACAAACAAAGGAGCAATTGTATTAATGCAGCGGTTGCATGCATATTGCCGATAACCACATCACCCTAAATCAGCGACTGTCAGATTGCAGTCCCCGGACCACCCGCGGCCAGCGGCGCTACTCCAGGTGGCCCGCGGGGCTGTGATGCAAATGTAGGAAATGTTGACAACTTAGATAATTTTGTTTCGAACAGCAGTTGATATTTTAATTGTGATATTTAACATTTAAAAAGAAGTAAGGTAAACTACCCTGACTAAACTATCCGAACCCCCTTGAAAAAAGTATAACTGCGTTTAAAAGATAATTATTATTATGTTCATGTTGTATGAGTGGTATTTAAGAGAGATAAGTGAATGCGTTTTGTCACCAGGGGTGCGGGCTGGCTGGGTGGTCCGCGGAAATGTTTGTATCGGCTGAGTGGTCCGTGGGGCACACGAGTTTGAGAAACACTGCCCAAAATGTATCTGGTCTCATTGAATATTGGAAGCTGCGCGGGGTTTAGCATGGTCAGTGCGAGGATGGGTAACTAACAGAGTATGTGGCTGTGAGGCGCCTAGGAGATGGCACTAAGCATCACCTCTTGAAATGTTTGGGGGGTGGCTCTGGGTTATTTAGTTTCCTCCAACGTACCAAAAAAACATTAATGGAATTTGTCAAACTTTCCAAAGAGGGACCCTCCTAAATAAAGAGTCTTGATACCAAGTGAGTCTTTTACAGGTAAATAAAGCACATTACCCCAAGTTTTACCTTCGATGCCCACGATACTGCTAATAAACACTGACCACTTAGCTGTAGAAATTAATATTCAGAGTGAGTGAAATTCTAATTATAAAATTATTTTCTCTGTGTTTGGGTGAGTGCAGGTGGCCGTGTCGTCCAACAGCCCTGTGCTGGACTATGAGAGTCAAAGCTTTTACACACTGCCCATTTACGTGAGCGACATCAATGGAATTTCTGTGATGGACATTCTCACCGTCAACATTACGGACGTAAATGAGGCCCCAGAGTTTCTGGATTCTCTTGGTTTGCAAAGTAAGTCATGGCATCCGCACTCGCCACAGTGTAATACAAACACAGGAGTGCATTTCTGTGGCGGACATTTGAACGTATTGCACTTGACTGAAATGAGGACGGTGGAATCAAAAGATTTCGACTCATGTCACACGTTCAAATGGGAAAGCAGCTGCTGAATATAAGTGCAACTTCTGATGGAGAGTCTGCAGCTCACTCAAGGGCAAGAGCAACATCGTCAGACTGCTTGATGAGGACCCCGGTGTGTTGTTATGCTGCACCGGTGTACCGTCAATACATCCATTTACTTAAATTAAAAAATACAATAATAATGTTCTTTATCAATAGAAATCCTTTCAACACTTTTCAAGAGGCTCCCGTTTGAAACGTTACCCAATTGCTCACGGCGCATTAGTCAAGCAACCCCATTGGCAGGCTCGACAATCCCAGCGACCTAAGCTCTAGGATAAAAACCCTTTTACCACATGTACCCATTATCACAGCAAGGGAATTTTTTTTTAATTGCGTAAATGTATTTTTTCTTGTAAAAAAATTGTGCAAGGCAAGTACGTTTCGTTTAAAAAATCGGTAAACAACAAACGTGCTTTAATAATCGCCAAACCTTCTTTCTTAAATCGGCGGCCTTGGAGTACCAATATAAATCCCATGCATAACAAGAATGGCACTCAAACATGCATGAAATCGAACTAAGATTGATGGGTTCGTAGCACCACAATGCTGCCTCCCTCGCCCACCTCCACCGCCCTGTGGCACATAGAGAGTCTACAAGGGCTACGTGGGGGATCATGCAGGCATACTCTTTGGATCTTTCGGTAAAGTCACATAGCTATAAAATAAAATAAATCACGACGTTTCGGGCGCAACACAAGCATCCATCATTAGGTGGGAAAGCATGGTCTGCTGCTGAGGCAGACTGTTTTAAAAGGTTTGAAATGGGTGTAACCCAAGGGTCATAAAGAAGTGGCCGGGGTTAGTGATGTTAATGTGAGAAATTAGCATGTAACTGTAAGATAGGAGAGCGGCCTCCTAGACGAGGGCACGGAAGTGGCTATGTTAATGTGAGGGATTAGCATGATGTTAATGTGAGAAATCAGCATGTAACTGTAGAAAGTGCAACCCAATGGGTGTAATCCGAAGGGCCTGTGAGTATGAGAGTGTAATCCAAAAGACATGTGAGCATGCTAGTGCAATACAAAGGCATGAGAGTGCAATGCAACTGACATGTGAGCATAAGAGATCTAAGAGAGAGGCATAGAAAGAGAGACAGAGAGTCGAAATAACAGCTATGCAGGTTGGATGGAAACATCACAGTCAGTTAAGACTTCACCTGGTTAATAGCGTCCTTCCAATGATTGCTCAGTTTGTACCCATCCTCTCGGTTGAAGTTGTGTCTGTGTTTATATATCTGGATGGCTTCATGAACAAATCTCTGAAGGTAGCCGGTAGGTTTGCAGAGTACCTCGTGTGAGCCCACAGCGTTAAAACAATGATCAGCAATGGCAGAGGTATTAGTCCTACCGTGTTTCAGATCCGCCTTGTGTTCACGGATGCGGCCCAACACGTCGTTTCGTTTCCCCAATGTAACTGCTGCCGCCATCCAGATATATAAACACAGACACAACTTCAACTGAGAGGATGGGTACAAAATGAGCAATCATCGGAAGGACGTTATTAACCAGGTGAAGTCTTAACTGACTGTGATGTTTCCATCAAACCTGCATATGTCAGCTGTTATTTCAACTCTCTGTGTGTGTCTCTCTCTCTCTCTCTATGCCTCTCTCTTAGATCTCTCATGCTCACATGTCTTTTGGATTGCACTGTCATACTCACAGGCCCTTTGGATTACACCCATTGGGTTGCACACCCTCGTAGAGGAGGCCGCTCTTCTTCTCCTTCTTTTCTACAGTTACATGCTGATTTCTCACATTAACATTATGCTAATCTCTCACGTGAAACATAGCCACTTCCATGCCCTCTAAATTCTCACATTAACATCATGCTAATCCCTCACATTAACATAGCCACTCCCGTGCCCTCATTTATGAGGCCCCTCTCCTATCTTACAGTTACATGCTAATTTCTCATGTTAACATCACTAGCCCTGGCCAATTATTTATAACCCTTGAGCTACACCCATTTCAAACCTTTTAAAACAGTCTGCCTCAGCAGCAGACCATGCTTTCCCACCTGATGATGGACGCTTGTGTTGCGCCAGAAACGTCGTGATTTGTTTTATTTTATACCTACATGACTTTACCGAAAGAACCAAAGAGTATGGATTCCTGCAGTCACGCTTCAAATCAAGATCGTGCAGGAACATTGGTTAGTGGGGTTTGACAAAGGGCCGTCCTTGTTATGAAATATTGAAATGTATTTGGTGTTGGCCAGGGATTGGCAAACTTGCTGCTCCAGAACCGCATTTTACTTTTTTAAGGAGTGCTTCGTGACGTTATTTATTAAGAGCCACTGTCTCGTATTCACCACGTGCATTGCAGCTCTTGCAATATTGAGATATTCTTTCGTATGAAATTTGAAAAAATGCTCTTCTTGTAATCTTGGTTACCAAACCCCAGGTGTACGCTCTGTTATGGCTAATCAGAGTATGATCTTGCAGAAAACTCACGTTTGTTTCCAATGTTTGTGTTTCAACACCTCCTGTCTAGCACTGACATTATACGTTCCTGAAAACTCTAACATTTACGTGTTGTACCAAGTGCTGGTGTGGGATCCAGACAGTGACGTATGCACGGTAAGAGCTACCACTACGCCATGTCACCGTCCCAGTGGGGTGGTGGCTTCCACCTATAATACAGATGTTCTGTATAATAATTTTCAAAGTCACTTTGTTGTTGATCGTTTTTAAAATGTGTTTTTTCTGTGTGTGTGTGTGTGTGTTGTTCGCTTTCAGTTTGTTTGTTCACCCAACACAGATTTTGATATTACTTCTCTTGGAGAACTTACGACGAAGAGACCATTTGACTATGAAACTGACTTCACAAAGTAAATTATATGTTCCTCATCTCTTCAGTCACTGTTATACTTATAAACATATCAAGTTAATAACTTATTGCAACACATCCACATTTAGCCTGTTGTTTGGCATTGCCACTTTCCTATGGGGACAAACATCATTGTATACTGTTCCTTGCAGTTGTAATGTACTTTGAGATACCTTTTCAAAATGGAAGGCAACTTACAAAACAAGTATTAATTACGATATCATCATAGTGACAATTATACTGCAATACTCTATATAGATCTTATCACTTAACTGTATGTTGAACTTCTTTCGCACCGTACGTAGCCATCCGTGCTAATATGAGATGCCAGGAAGGACAACTGAACCATGCTGCTTGTAATTATTTAATTTCACCTCACTTTCAAGACAATCAGTATTTTAATAACGGCGTTTTTTGTCCGCTTCACTCAACAGCTGAATCACTGCCTTATTATGATTACTCCAGACAAGTGAAATGTGTTTTCTTTACATGATCCAATAACCATAACTTTAAGTTCACTGACTAATCAAATTGGAGGAAATAGTGGCCTGTTGTAACATGCTGTCATGTTAAGTAACTTCTACACACACAAAAAATAACCCAAGTTGTCTTGGCACCATTCTGTTCTGTTTGAGTAGCCGTGGACACTGCCAGCCCTCGGTCGCGGGCACTGCAATTTACGCGCGTTGATAGTTTGAACGCCGTCCAGCGGCATTGGCACCTAAATATTCATATATTAAGCGGCAACCGTAGCCAAGGAATTGCACACGGGGACCTTGTTTTACAAGAAATGGATATGGGTTTCATACCTGGCTCAAGAAGCAATGATTTTTTTCAGTAAATCACGTAATTACAGGAATTACCCCATCACACACCTTAATGTGTCCGAATGTGCGCGCAGAATGCCCGAAGGAGCACACTGAGCGTTAACCAATCGTAAAAGTCATTTAACATTTCCAGCCCAACTCAGGCCCCATATCTTCGGCAAAAACAAACCCCGTTTATGTAGAATCGCTTCATAGCCTGACCCTTCTCGTCTCACCTGAACACCCGAACCCCGACACCCGAACCCCGACACCTCGCTCTCGGTGAGGAGTTGCTGTCTACTTCAGCTTAAACATAAAGAACAATCGAATGACTTCATTTGTTGAAGGTGTGTGCTCATTACGTGAAAACAAATCGCTTGTATTAACTTTAAGACCAATGCTTCCCAACACTTCTGGACCCGCGGACAGCTCTCAAAAAATGTTTGCGCTCCACTGTGTGGTAAAAAAAAAAAATATGGTGTTTAGAAATCACTGGTCTAGATGAAACAATGTTCATTATGAAAATCCCCCTGAGTTGCAGAAACGGCTGTCAAACTTGGGAATCGTTTCACGTGACCTCATTTCAGCCAAGCGCAGAGCTGCTGCATGCAAGCTCCTTGTACAATCCATGTCCACATCAGCCCCTCCCTTTAACTGCATTATGAAACAACAGAAAAGACTATAGATCACACTTAGACTCTAAATACTCTTAGGTATGCCCAAGATGCGTTTCAGCAGCACATTTAGACTTCAAGGCTGCAGCCTCGACACCATAATTTTAGGTTATGCATTTCCGATTTTGATGTATATTATGCATTAATATCAAAGTATGTTAAGTTTCATAATCATGCTATGTTTTTTTTTTATTACTCAGCTATACACTAAAAATTATTGTGTCAGATGGAAGAGGTCTCTCAGTGACTGGAACCGTGCTCATTTTCATAGAGAACATAAATGACAATTCACCCTCCTTCACCAAGTAAGTATCAAACAACATTAAGTGATCGTATAGCCCAATTAATACCAAAGTCTAAGTAGTGATATTATCGTTGGAATGCATCACCGGTGACGAACCATTAATGGAAAATGTATTTATGTGTTCTGTAAATTCTGATAAGAATGTGCATCGGCGCATGAATAGAAGAAAATTATTTAGAAAAATTGTTTTTACAAAGTGACTAAATTTACTGTTGCGCACATTATACTCACCCAGAATGCAGCCCACGTCGTCAGATCTCAGACGTTAATTCGGCTCGCGCCTGGATACTGCCTGGGTGACTATACCGCGCGTTGCAGATTGTTGTAGGCTGCAGGGCTACTTGGCAGTCGAGGGCAGTGCAGAAAAAACACAATTGTACTGCTATTCCCACATCTAAGCTTCTTATCTTCATCAACCCGCACTGATCGGCCCGATGAACGTCCGTTGCGGTCAAATAACCCCCAAGACCTGCACGGCGTGGGGAGGCCTTCATGTGGCAGTGGGCTTTCAAAAGGGCTCTGACCCTGTTCGTGAATTGCTTCTGTAGTGGCTGTAGGGATTTGTTTATTCTCACGGATTGTTTTTGACAGCGTTTCCCAAGCCCACAACATTACCATCCCAGAGGAGCTCGCCCTGAGCACGCTCATCACCACACTCTCGGCAACAGATGTCGACAACTTGGGTCTTCTCTCCTTCTCCATTGATACAGCCACTGGATACCTAAGTGTGGACGCAGGTGTGTTGCTCACAGCCGTTGCATTCACCTGCGCATGCATTCCACAATGCTAATTAAATTGGTGACCATATAAAAATGAATAGAATTAACCAATCATGATTTCGTATGTATGTTGACCTTCTTTCTATTTACATAGCCAACCGTGCTAATTGGAGGTGCGACAATAACATTTTATAATGTCACGATACCGCAAATATATTATTTAAAGATTGTAAATGTCATTCAATTGTTTCAAATGTTATTATTAGAGTTGCTATAGCTGTTGTGGAGCAAAACAATAGCGATGTGCATATATTCTATATTATAATATATTCTATGCATTTAACAGCTGTTTATTACTCTGGTGAGGGTCCGTTGAGATTCAATTTGTAAAATATATTATTTGTGTTCATAATTTAGAAAGGCTTATGTCGTTGTTGTAGCAGCCAGACGGACTTTTCAGCTCACCGGACCAGGCCTTCTCCCCAATCGTCCGACGAGCCGGGATTCACTGTCTTCATTTGCCTTCTTTATTTAACAATGCCACCCCACTCGGGTGCAATGTTTCTTGATGTGCTTCATGTTTACTGCTGTACGTGTAACCCCATTGATATTAATGAATTCTTAAAATATATTAACCATGACATTCCATGTTCACGTATCATTGCTTCGTGTGCTTTATTTAACCAAGTGCAGTGCGCTATTGAGAGTGATTACTTATCCCCGTCCTAGCCTCGTGCAACCTCTGTGCAGCAGTTCCTTCCTTCTAAATAGTTGTGACAATTTGTAGATACGTGTTGTTGTTAAGGTCTTGGCTCGTGGGAGCTGGGGGTGACCGCATCCGTTTCCACTGATAAAATACATTTTCATAGGTCTATAAAAGCTATTTATAACGGTAGTTAGTCATCATTTGCTTTCTGGGATCTTATCTAGGACGTTATACATATTGCTGAACATGGTTGGCTGGCCTCTAAAATGTCTCTTGGTTTCCTCCCATCTTCGGGAACAATTGTATACATGCGGTAGGAGGCTAATCAGTCTGTAATTAGATTGAATACACAAATGTATACACAAAAGTCAAGAGTCTATTTACATTAACGGAAACAGTTATTATTGCAGGAACAATAAATACATAACATATTCTGTAGGAACGAATCGGAGAACTTAATAAAGGTTAGGATAAACGTGAGCTAAACAAGTCATGTAGAAGTTTTATAAACGATATAATATAATACAATTAATTCAGAGGCAAATGGAAAACACAGCAGAATATATACATCTAGGGCAATAATTTAAAGTGTTGACGTATCAAGTGGAGATGTAACACGATTTTTGTTCCTGGGTAGTAAGTGTTTTTTTCTAATTGCTTATGCCTCAAAAGTACAGTAAATGGCTATTATTCCCCACAAACTTTGCTTTTGTGACCAGGACTTTATGTGAAGGAATGACACTAATTCACACGTTTTCTCATTGAAAATAGGTATATTTCAAAATACAGTATCACTGTCCTGGTCACAAAAGCAAACTTTGTGGGGAATAATAGCCATTTTCTGTACTTTTGAGGCATAAGCAATTAGAAAATAACACTTACTACCCAGGAACAAAAATAGAGTAATTATCAAACTGTGAATTATGCTGCATGTCAATCCACTGCATGTTGCATATTCACTGCTCACTGGTCCACTGTGACCTCAATTAACAATGATCTGATAATGATTGTCCCCTCGCTGTCAGATGACTGATCTACATCTCTTTCCCTTGGACATCTGCGTATTCCCTGCCCTGACATGAATGTCTGGCCACAGCAACAGGGGAAGTGATGCTGTCCAAGAGGATGAACCTGGAGGGCAATTGCCCACCTTTATTGTTGTTCACCATCACCGTGTGTGACGATGGGAATAATTGCGACATCTCAACGCTGAGGGTCACAGTGACCGACATCAACGACAACCCGCCTGTCTGCGTCGCCCCTTACTCGTACGCTCCACCTGCACGGGACATTTATCCACTGGGACCACCGTGGATTATCAACAATCTATTTATAATATGGGTAGTATGTTCTTTAGATCACTGGAGACAGAAACATGTTTTTATATATATATGCAGATACCCAGTTACAGCACTGGGTAAAACAACGCGCACCCTTACTGCATTAAGGATGCGACCACCAAATTTCACCAACGAGTCCTGTCCCAAGAATTGGTTCTGCAACTTTCAAGTGCATCATGGATGAATGGTTAAAACTACACAGCAGGCTTTTGAAGAAAAAAAGAACAATGATTGAATGTGCAGCTGCTTTATCTGCCCATTGTGTAAGGCGGCATACTTGAAATATAAGTATTTGTCAGTCACAGAGGTGCAATCTGTACATTTTAATCATTACAAAAAAAGCAAATGCAAATATATCGCCCGTATAGCCTAAACAGACTGTTGGGGCAAGTGTAGTTAGCGAGCACCTATGAAAGCCGGCACAGCACACGAGGGGTGGGTGGCCAATACGACTCCCCCCCCGCCTTTGTCTCCCCAGTGGTGATGTTTACACATCGCATCAGGTACTAATTTGAGGCTGAGTCGACCTAGGGGAGGCCCAGGACCGGTTCAGATAATCGTCACTGGTGTTGACCATGAGCGGGAATCGGGCCGCTGGGTTTGTAACGTTACACACGTGCAATCAATAACCTCACTACTGAAATCAATTTCCCAGTAAACACGTATTTCAAAGTACAGCATCAGCAGATAGAATACTCTATGGGTAATTCCTGAGAAGCAGCGTATACGTGGTGACTAAGTGAGCATGTCTGCCAGAGCAGCACAATGTCCTAGGCCTCATGAAAGAGATACCATCTAGTTTAGAATAAGAAGCGCTTTAGCCAAGAGACACCAGAATGAGTGTTTATCTGGACTTTTGAGGCTCTGCTCATTGAAGGAGTTCCCAAGTGGACAAGTCTCGACTCTTAGTACACGGTGATTTTAACAGTCTCTAGGTGCACTAGGAGCCAACCCATAAGTAATCAATATAAAAATTTAACGCACAAATTTCTTCGCGCTCGAGACTGGAAAACTTTAAGTTGACACACTGTTTTGCAGTTTTTGTAAAAAAAAATAACCAAATCTCATTGCTAAAAGAAAATAATAATTTTGAAAATGTTTACGTTTACTTTACCAATGCCACCAAGTTTGTTATGTGCTCAATAGTTAACTATAAGCCCTTCCAGCCTCTATATGGGCATCACACACGTACCTACAATGCACGCAAATACATGCATACATGCTTGTTTTGTATAACTTGAAAATGTGATAACAAAAATACTATGGCAAGACCCTCTTGTGACCGGAGGTACTGTTTATACAATAGACTTTGTCAGTGATGATGCACTTTCCACAAATCCTTATCATTGTTCCTGCAGGATAAATATTAATGAAAATCAAGTTGCAACCAGCGTGTTGACAAATGTCATTTGCACAGACATTGACTTAACTGCGGTTAACCAAGCCTTCACCTTTTCAATGAACAACGTAGGCCCTGCTGCCAGCAACCTCGCGATTAGTGCAACTGGCGTGATTGAGGTCAGAACCATACACTCACTCTACGAGGCGTAGCATTGTGGTGATCTTAAGTAACGATCCACCTCGATTCCTAATGGCTGAAATGCAATTAATTGCTATGTATAACACAATAAAATACAATACACAGGTTGTTAATTTTTTAAAATCCCATTATTTGTTCTACAATGGCTCTACTATATCCTTACTTCAATACTAAAATTAATAAAAATTACTCCATTTACAATCTGATCAATATGCAGGACATTTATCACATAGCAATATATGATTCCCTAGTTTCATAGAACAATATTAACCATTTCCATCACATCTATATTAAAGTTGTCAATTCAAAGGCAAATGTTTTGCAAACTAATGTGCACTCCATCGAAGCAACTTATACCGATGGAGCACAATATTTGAAAATGTTATCCTGATAAATTGAACTACACCTCACGTCCGTGCTCTCGTACAGGGTCTACAGAAAGAGCCACATATTTCCTAAAATAATACACATACAGTCGCCGGGTTAGTAGCGCAGAGCGCTAACCACTATACTACCGCTGCCCTGAACACGGTCATGCAGGGCCGGGATGGACAGAGTGGCTAATCCCTCTTTTCCACTATACAAACCGAGCTGCGCCGGGGGCCGTGCCGAGAAACAGAGCCGTGTTGTTCACATCACACTATTCCCATTTCCTAACCATGTAACCGACTGACGTCGCATGCAACGAATGCGTCACTCGCTCTGAAAATGTTTAAAGAAGTCCAGAAGTAAAAAAAATGTACGTTGTACCAGAACTAAAAATAGGACATGAAGTAAAATGTGGGAATTGGACATGAAGCAGTTGGGCCCGAGTTACCCTCTATTCCAAATAATAATCAAAATAACAATTATCTCTCATCTTCAGTGATGTCTCTAGGACGTAAAGGAGCTTAGCTGTGGCTCTGAATAATTTCCAAGGGACCCCGAGTTAACCAATTGGTTGCTTATGTAGCTTGATGTGTATGGATTTACGACCCAAAATTTCATAAATTATAACGGTGCACAGGACTAAAGGTGACAAGTTGTAAACTGGATCAGAGGGGAAGAAGAAGAAAAGTGAAGATTTAATTGTAATTTATCTAGGAACTTACCAAATTGGAAGCATTGGGTTATCAAAAAATAACCAACAACTAAATAAAACAAAAACGGTGGAAAAACTGTAAAACTAAGTGCACACTGGGGATAACCACTTGACAGAGGTTCTGGAGGGGTTCATTTATGCAGGGTTGGGTCGAGATGCTTTGACCCAGGTGTTGGAACGATTTCTCAATGGTCTCTTACTTGGTTATAAAGTTTACGTATTTCCAGATCTCAGCTGCGTGCAACAACCTAATTCTGTCTTTAAACGAATGTAACACGCGGTTTGCACATAGCATCCAATTTTTTTTTTACTTTTCACAGCTGACATCAGGTACCTTCGATTATGAGAACCTGGTGAATCTGTTCAATGGCTACACTTACTTGCTGACTGTGGTGGCCACAAACACAGCACCCCCCTTTCTCAGTGGTGAGTAACATCGCAGGTTTTCCGCAGCATCGCTCCCCCACTTGCCGCCACTCGACGTCGGTCAGCAGGGGGCCGCTGAGTGCACGGAGCCCCCTGCAGGGCTACGCACGTACTGGGTGGGAAGTGTGAGATGGGGAAGGTGAACTTAACGCGTCGGTGACAGACAGGTGGACCTACTTAACTACCAGTGCATTGTGATTGGCCGATTCCGTTGGCAAACCTTGGAGACATCTGTGAACGTCTTGCCCAAGCTTGACAAATCGGACTTATGTAATTTATTTATTGTTTCTTCATATTTAGTGACTTACCATTTTCTCTGCTTTGCACGCCTGTCGTTTGTTTGTATTGTTTGTTATAACTTGCTGACCCTCCCATACTGGACATCTGTGAAAAAGACTCTCCCATACTGGACATCTGTGAAAAAGAGCTTCATAGCTAATCGAATTCCTCCTGCAGTTTAAATAAAGAATTTGATTATAATTCTGACATGTTATTAAATTTGTAGTGAGCACAGGCCCAAAAGGCCCTATTTACAAGTGTAATGACGACTTGACACTTCTCTTGAGATGGCACTTTATTGAATACATGTTCACTTGACATCAGGCGGAGACCCCACTGCAACAGCCAGAGTCTCCCACACATCTCCCTTATATACTGTATCAATTGAGGCCTCGATCATTCTCGCTGACTCCGGACGCTCGCTCTACCGGCAGACTCTACCGTCCTCTTCCATCACCTGACCACGCTCCCTTCTCGAACATTCCCATAGCCACCAGTCCCTTCACACTCACAGCTTACTCCCCTGTCATTACCTCCCGTGGCCACTAGTCCCTTCACACTCACAGCTGACTCCCCTGTCATTACCTCCCGTGGCCACTAGTCCCTTCACACTCACAGCTGACTCCCCTGTCATTACCCCCCGTGGCCACTAGTCCCCTCACACCGGATGCAGGCTCTATTGTCATTACACAAGTATTACACAATACTATGGATTTAAGCAAAGTAAGCTTGTTATTTTTAAAACAACAGATGTACCATATAGTCCCAGAGAAATAAGGGACAAATTTCATTTATGGACTAAATGTATGCAATTAGTCTTAACAAAATCCAAAACTAATTATTGTTAACTATGTAGGATGTTGTCGACCATAAACTGCATAGGTATGTTAATGTGACAATGTAGATAATGCATCCTAATAACCGAACCAGGTACTAACAATAATTTAAAATATACAATAAACATTGCTCCTGTACTTTGTTAAACAACATTTTCACGTAGTGAAACAATTGTCGTTGTTTCACTGATAAAACACTGGATGTTGAGTTGTTGAAAATAAATTGACAGTGTTGTTGTGTCTGCCACAGCTACGGTCACAGTGTACCTGCGCATCATCCCCGTGAATGAGTTCACTCCACAGTTCAGTCAGCCTACGTACCAATTCGTTATCGCCGAAACCGCATCTGGTGAGTATTCCCTAGATAACTGTGCGCGATGCATCACTGTGTTTTGGACAGTTACGAGACAAGCACTGGGCATTTTTATTACAAATCGAGAAATTATTTGGCTGTAAAATGTTCATAAAGCAGCAGTTCGCTTTCATGAAAGGTAAGAAGAACATTCGAACAACTAATTCCCTCAACTCCTCTGCAGAGATGGAGTGGTAAACTCGGCTCATTCGCAGGTGCTAAATGGATTGTTTATATCGTACGACCGTGGGAGATGGTGATGGCTTGGGAAGGCCTTGATCCAGACGTGCATTGATATTACAGCTGATGATGATGACTACGCTGCCCATGTTTGTCGTCAATCAGCCGGAGCGATCCTGGGGCAGGTAAAGGCCACCGACCAAGACTTCATTCTCAACGACATAACGTACCGACTGTGGGGACCCGGTGTAGGCCGCTTCCTCATTGAACCTACGGGTAACATTAAAGCCATAACCAAACTGGACTATGAGCTCGTTCAGCGCTATGAGCTGGTGGCGGAGGCAGTGGACGGGGACCCGTTTTTTCCCAAGACAGCCACAGTCACGGTGAGCACAAATCCACCTCCGCACTGTCCACAGGGCGCGTGTTCACCACACGCACACAAACCCACGTTGGGATTCCCCAGGCCAAGCTCCTTGCACAATGTGACATGTAAAGGCCTCACCAGGTACGCCTATGCCTTGGCTTTGCTGAATGAGCATTCTTTCTACCGACTGATCTGGTGCCTGTCTCCCATTGTTATAGTCACTTGATAGTGCAATGGTGTAAACTTTGAATGTACATCGCTCTTTACAATTTCATATATATTCATTGTATAAATGTTGCCACAACTAAAGACAGTATGATGGTGTTTACTTTGATTTGAATATTGCGTTGCAAGACATTTTGATAAATCTGATTATGTCTAAAGGTGAGTTAATTTGTGTGAATTAATACACCGTGGAGAAACAATGCTTGTGGTCATGAGAGTGAACCAGGATCACTAAGATTCTGTGATGGCAGTGAATTTTATCAGAGCACATTTAAAATGCATTATCAGGATTTTCAAGATGAGGTAACTGGCATTAATTCCAGCAAGCATGACTGCTGATGAGACACTGTATGTCAAAATTGGTCTTAGAGTTTGCTTATAGTTGAATCAATGCTGCTGAAATTATGCACTCCCAGTTTGTCATGGGGCTGATGGGATGTGTAGAAACATTATTTTTTAGGTAGACCAGACAGATATATGAAGGAGACGTGTTGTGTGATTATCTATCTTGTCTAAACCTCATCAATGAGTGATTCACAGCCAAGTATTAATATATTCATTTCGGTTCTAGGGGTTGTTTGACCATACTTCACCATGATGGTTGTCATGCGCTGGTTTAGTCGTAACTTGTATGTGGAGGTGTCTTCTGGGATCCCTCGTAGTCGAGTATGATTTCCCTCCAGGTGTCACTTGTCCGTGTTGTGAAGTGGGCCTGGCTGGCCATGGGTCCGGAGATGGCTGAATTGGCAAATCAGTGAACTGCAGATCTTGGCAAAGTGGTGGCAGGGATGGTCCATACTGGAGCTCCCACTCGTTGTCTCTGGTGTATGTGCTTTGCAGCGTGCTCTTTTCCTGGTTATCAACTCTTTGTTCGGCCTCAACGTTCTGAGTTCCATTGTGTATTTTGGCCCTCCATGATGGTCTATCAAGAGCATAGATTTCCCAGTTGTTTGGACCTATGTGGCTTCGCTTGAGGTGCGTCTTAAGGTTGTCAAGGAAATGTTTCCTTTGCCGCCTAGGGGCTCGTGATCCATCCCTGAGCTGGGAATAGAAAATTTGCTTAGCAAGCCTCGAGTCATTCATCCTCACAAGGTGACCTGCCCATCTGAGTTGATACTTCATAATGATGGCCTCTATGCTGGATGCATTGGATAGCTCCAGGACACTGATATTAGTTTGTCGTTCTTCCCAGGTGATGTTTAGTATTTTCCTGAGACTGCGTGGATGAAACATTTCGAGAGATTTTATGTATTTATGATAGGTGGTCCAGGTTTCTGCACCATATAATAGGATTGGAATGATCACAGCATTATACACAGTCACTTTGGTCTTGGTGGTAATGCTGTGGTCTTCAAAGACCCTGTTTTTAAGTTTGCCAAAGGCAAACTTAAGAACAGAAGAACCAAAGAGTGTAGCCTCCACTTAGCTCGGTCAGTTGGCCTTCATCTGCCAGATGGGTTTCACTGAGGGCGGCAATATGGATATTAAATCGTCTCAGCTCGTGCCACAAGAGCTCTGGACGTTGCGAGTTTGGGTTGTCTGTGAGGGTCCTGACATTCCAGGGTCAAATATTTAGGTTACATTTCTTTTTGTTTCGACCGCAATTATTGATGCTCCCTCTGGTCGCGGTAAGCCATACAGGATGTTTCTAGGCAGGCTTTGTTTAGAGCACCTTTTCTAGCCCCCTCCCCATTTGTGGTGAGCATATTGGATCCTTGTGGGCTGCTCAGTCACAGCTACAGCTGCCAGGATGCACTCTTGCCTAATCCGAGTGCATGACGACCTTCTAATAGCTGCCGCCTTGGTGCTGGGTTGTGACTAGGAGCTTCTAGCTGCATAGGCCTGCCCCGCTCGCCACTTTCCGATCGCCCAAGGGCTTTGGGTATGTAGTGTGGTGGTGCGATGGCACAGTCTCTCTGGAGGGTAACAGTGCGTGTCTGTTGCACACCAGCTACCGCACGGGGCTTAACCAGGAACCAAGCCTGGGTCCATTGGCAAGGTATAAAACCAAGACGATTGGAAGGCATGTCCTCGAGCACCAGACATCCTCCACCATATGCCATTGGCCATCTGGACCGTAGCTCATCCGCCCCACCGAGGTGGGCCGTTGGCCACTTGGTATCAACTCGGGACACTATCAGGGTTTACTACCTTAGCCTAAGTGGCTAACCAGAGCCCCGTTAGCCAGGGCGTTTCCAGGTGAGATCGGACAGGCCTTCATGGTTACCGAAGCGGCCCAGGTGGTCGAACCACCCACCATACTTCGTCCTGTCTGGCAATCCTGAACTTTACCTGTTACCACCTCCCACGATGTGGACGAGGGGTTGGTTTTTGGGAGTGCTTGTGGGGGTGTAGCGCATGAAGAGTGACTGCCCGAATTTAAACTATTTACCACTACTATATATTTTTTTATTTTACCAGGTAAGGCCCACCGAACTATTTACCTCTTTTTCAGAAGCGACCTGGTCACAAATGATAGCTCAACATAGTTGCTTATCACTTGAACATTCATAGCAGCCAAATACTCTAAACACATGTTGATTCTAAACATAGAGGGAAAAACCGGAGGACCCAGGGGAAAATCCACATGACCACAGGGAGAACATGCAAACTCCAAATATACAGGAGTCAGGGTTGGGATCGAATTCACGACCCTCTGTATAGCAGGCGAGGTAGTTAACATCTAGCCACCGTGGCATCCTTAGCGGGCATGAGCCCACTTTAGGGCAGAAGGCAAAGGAACACGAACACACATATAGAGAATATTACAGCCCTGTAACACACAACACTACATCACTCCTGTCATCTCTCAAGATAAAACAGCAATCTCGACTCCAGTCAACTTCCGAGGCGACACCAGTGCGCCAGGTTTTTTCTGGATTTGGGCCTCCCCTTTGCAGTGGCATTGCAGCAACCGGTCCCCTCGCCTGCAGACGGCCATGCACGCGGCCGGGCACAGCGCACAGCTTTTAGGTCACAGCGGTGTTCTTCATTCCAAGACCCGCGGGCCACTGGCGGCCCCTGGTGGCCTTTAGTGCAGCCCCTGACGTGCGGCCCCCCACAATACTCAAACAGTGACAACACCCCCCATTATCATCTGCGCTGTCAAACTCCCAATGGTTTCAAATGTGTGGCGGCGCCCACACTTAGAATTCTTATCGGCGAAAGTGGGCCCCCTCTGAAAATTAGTGAAAAACACTGCGTTACACAATCAGCCAGTATAGGAATTTCACTCTTCATGGCTCCATTTTTTTCTAAAGCTCATGTTCTGGATACTTAGTTTAACTCCTCACTTTATACATAACAAATATCTGACCTTGCTAGTTTCAGTACTTTACGTGCAGTACTCACAGTAGCTCCACAAGCCGTGCAATATTTTTTCCTTGTCACATTATTGTACTGCTGGTCTCTTTACAGTACATGTACGCAGATGCCTCAGAACCTACACATGTTACGAGCTTAAAGAGGGAATCTTTATACACAGGTGTAGAGTACGTACACACCTCTTATGAAGTCCCCAATGAGCAGCACTCACCAGACCACCAGCAAAGCAGAGAGAGAAGCAACGGCAACAGCCATCCATGTTGCATGGTTGCCGACAGCAGTGGTTCTCAACCGGGGAGTAAGCGGACCCTTGGGGGTTACACGTGGCAATGTCCTAGGGGGTCGGTAAGGTGATTTATAAACGTGTGAAATTATATCATACACTAGAGATATTGGTGAATAATCACGCATGAATCTGGCAATATAAAATTATGATAAAATGTCAATCCATATGCTAACCTAGAACGATATGAAAGACTTTTCTAACTTGATTGATCGTAAACAATGTGGTTTCCAAGAGTAACCAGTGAGTGTGTACAAATTAAATCCTGCATGCAGAGCATCCATTGAATGTATTTTTTTATTCACTTGCAGTGACTAGCTCGTTCGGATATACCTCACAAAATGGAGAAGTGGTTAAACTATTGATGTTCATTATTCCATACATTTATTTCTCAGAACCACGTTGGGTCAGGCAAGGGGGGGGGGGGGTACTCGGTTGAAACACAATTCAACAAGTGGTTACACAGTAGCCAAAAAAAACAGTTGACAATCACCGACTACATCATCTCTTAAACATCACATTGGGCATAGCCAACCTGTCCAATCTTACCTAGATTCAGCATTCACAAGTGAAATAACTTTTCACTTAATCTCTGGAGGCCCTCCAGCTGGCGGAGGCTGCTGGGCTGCAGCCCCTAAAGCCCCCCGTGCTTTCATCCGGCCCTGGTGACAGTGGTCAGTAAGCTGGTTGGTGAAGGGGGGGGGGGGAACAGGACCCGTTCAGATATTCCTCGCCACTGATGTTTGCCACGGTCAGCAATCGAACTCAGTCGACCAAGTTTGTAGTATGGTGTGTGAACCGCTGTGCCATTGCACTACCAGTCAATGAAAATGACACAAACTGTAATTGTTAAATGCCTAGTTAATCTGGCTGTGAATGAGTAAGAGCGACACAGCAGGGACGTGTCGTGTTAATAGAGGTTGGCGAGATGTTAACTGCCCCACCTGGTATACAGGAGGTCGTGAGTTCCATGACAACCCTGACACATGTATATTTGAAGTTTGCATCTTCTCCCCGTGGTCCCGTGGATTTTTTTACGGGTCCCCCGGTTTTCCCTCCACATTTAGAATTAACGTGCGTCTAGAGTATTTGGCCGCTATACATTTCCACTTGATAAGCCACTTTGTTGAACTGTCATTTGTAGCCAGACCTCTTTTGAAAAATAACTATATAGCTCAGTGGGCCTTACCTTGTAAAATAGTTCGAATAGGACTGCGACACACAAAGGGATTGGCGCTGCTCCCCTCGTAGGTGCCCTCTGCCCCCCCCCCACCCCCGTGATCCGTGGCTCAAACAAATCACTCAAAATGCCGGTGTATGACAGTAAGGGCAGTTTATGCGAATGCCGTCGCAAGGGGTCACAGGTTTGGCGCAATGGTCCTTCGCTGACTACGCATGATGAATAGGAGCAATGTGTGCGTGCCCTGGCCGTCTGGTGTTTATAGGTGACCGTGATCGTGGTGGAAGAGAATGATGAGCCCCCGGTCTGCAATCCCCTCTTGGCTCGATTGACCCTTACGGACGCGGTGACTGTAGGGACCAACATCCAAGGCTTCGCTCTGACTTGCACTGACAGCGACTCTGCTGCGGACGAGCTGCGATACGACATATCGAGCGGTGAGGGTCTAGTCAACATTAGCTGTGTGTGTTTTTGATAGCGGTAAAGTCGTTCGTAGCCATAAACTTTGAAAAGTTACTCAAAACAAAATTTACCAGGTAAAGTTACTCCCCAACACAAACCATTAAGTTTCAAAGTAAACTATGAACATAGTCATGAGGTTCAATATTAGCCTACCAAGTTGTAACAAATTGGTGTAAATTATTCAGGTACATAGAATACAAAGATTATAACAAATAACTTTTCAACAGTACCTGAGACTCGCAATCATTAAACAACTAAGATGTGTGCATGGGAAATCAGCCACATGGCATTCTGCCTAGCAGTTTGTGGTGTTGGACTCCACGAGCTGCACCGATCCCGAAATGCGCTAACCCCACTCTCCTTCACGTCCGCAGGTAACATCAACAACCACTTTGGCTTTTCACCGACGCGCGGCTCCAATTCTCCACGGCTGCTGCTCATGCGCTCGTTCGATTACAAGGGCCAGGTGGACATGGTGCAGAACTTCCGGCTGGAGGTGCACGTCATCGACGACAACAAGCGCAACGTGTCGGCCCAGACCGGCACGGCCATCATCCTCGTCACCGTCGTCAGGACCGGCACCACTGCCAGACCCCTCACGGCGCTGTCGGTGAGTGGCACGTGCGCAGCCGTGTGTCGTGTCGCTGGAACCGTAACCAGAGGAAGGATTTCATTAATCACGTCTTGTCCCCAACACCTTGCAGTCTGAAAGGCAGAGGGAAACATTTCATGGGCTCAAAGCCCCCGTATTGTTTGTGGATGTAAATGTGTGTTTTTGTGGCCTCTATTCCGTCGATATAAGTTGTTAAAGGTGTTTAATTGCACCTATTTTTTAACTGTTCAACCTTGCTCGTGCGTCACATTGTGATTTAATAAATTACACGAATATAAGGCAACATGTCAACTCGGTGCCATAATAAAGTGGTCGGGTAAGTAAGGAGTCCAATAATGCCGATTAGATCATTAAGTTTCATGGTTTCTGTCTCGTCACCAGTAACTGCGCACAAAAACCCTTAACGTAAAATTAGTTTTCAGCGTAAGTCACGCTCTCTGAGCTTTGTATAAACATTCTTAATATATCAGACTGACATGCACGGGACTGTGTTTGCACAAAAATAACGACACGAGTGCCATCGAGCTTGAGGTATAAGAGGCCGATCAACATAGGCCCAGACCCATCTCTGAGTTGGCGTCGTCTGGGCTGCTCCGTGGTGTCATGCGAGGCTCTGCTGCGGGAACTTCCACAAGGACGATCCCTCGCCTCGTGACGTGACTCAGCAGCGCAACACAGTTAGCAAGACAACGGATACACGAACTATGTTTCAAAGTGAAATTGAGGACCAGTTACCGACCACAAAAAAACACCTTCGGTGGGAGTGGGAGGGGGTTTGCATTGTTTGAAATGACACGAAGCGCAAAATGCACATCGGGCATTTAATACAACTCGCCACACGCCTGCAAATCTCACCGTGCTGTGCTGTGGTCCGTGGCAGGACAAGCCCGGTGTGGTGTTGAGGAGGACCTCTGTAAACACCTACGACTGGAGCCAGTGGTACGTTCCGTTCCTGATCACACTGGGCTCCTTGCTGCTGGCTGGCCTCCTCGCTTTCCTGCTCTACCGCCTGTTTAAGTCCAAGGCCTTCCGAAGCTGTCTACGATCGTGCTGCAGCTCTCGGAATAAACCCGCCAGGTGAGCAGCGCCGCTCGCACCGTAGGCACATTGCCGGCAAGAATCATACCTCATTAAACACGCACATTGTGGCCTCAACCCAAGATAACATTGGGACAGTCACGAACCATCTTGGCACTCGTTTGTATGTATGTTGAACTTATTTCGCACCACACGTAGCCAACCGTGCTAATTGGAGCATCTTGTCTAATGTCACGTTTCTAGTCACACCTCGACCAAGTTATTCTTATCAAATTATTTGTAAAAGGTAAGGAGCAACACCGTTTATTACTTTGAAAAAATAAGCATAGATTTAACCCTTTCTGGTAATAAAACAGGTGTTAAGATATTCAAACACTAAATACAAACCTTTTTCAAGGAATCAAGTTCGCATTAATAAGTTAGCATTTTTCAAGTTTGCATTTCTTTTTTTACAGTTTATAACTGTACGGCTATGAATCTAATATTGTGAAATCTACTTAGATGAGTGTCCACTTATTGGCAGACAATGTGGTGGAAAAGGTAGGAATTTCGCACTCGTGCTGTGTTCCATCTCATTACCCATCTGCATTGTGAAGCGCAGAACGTGCACACTTGTGACGTGTATACCTACTAGGCCTGCAATAATTTGTCCCATTGCGATTTCATGAATTCGTTTTTTTTTTATGAATTGCCGATCATTTGACACATCTAGTGGCTGCAGGGGTCACATTAACCAATTGCGTACAACATATATACGAATAGAAATATCGATTTGCGCATGTAGCATAAGCACAATACATTTTAAATAGTAAAATGTTTGCATCATCGTTTTCTAATATAGAGTATACTGGAGCGATCCGCAAGGCAGGTCAGAATTAAGTTGTGTTTACGTCTTGCCGTTTGGGTGCATGTTAGGTCATGTTCATCACATCATGTCCGATCCGCACCCATACAGCAAGCTGTCAAAACACCTTAGGGTGTGTGGGTCGCCTGCGAGTACCCGACCTGATGCAGGACCCTGCAGTGTACCATAGAGAGGTGGCCAGATGGCACGGAATTCAAAAACAGCCGAGCTGACACAGCTCAGATCCTGGGTTGGAATCCAGACAGCTAGCCGCCTTAGCTTAAAATTGGGTTCTCAAATGTATGGAGATGATAGTCGCAGCCCAAATAATGCCTGCACATAGCACCACAATATGATAGTTGATTATTTGCATAATTTAGCTAAATTCCAGCTGAAAATGGAAAACACTGTTTTGGTTTGTCATGCGATGAACACCACTTTGTAGAAGGCCGGGTGGGAGAGTGCTGCCCCCTAATGTTTGGACCAGTGGTCACGTGAACGGATATCAGAGCTAGCTCTGTGATATCTGCTTCCATGGGCAGTTTTTTTTTGGCAGCGGAGGCAATGAGTAAAATCTTGTTGTACAAGATAAAACTAAAATATTATATATAGCCTGCTACTTACATTGGGTAGGTTTTACAAATCTAATATTGGTTCCTCAATACAGTGGTAATGATGATATGAACATTAAAAGGTACACAGCTGTGTATAATTATATCTGATACCACCCAATTCCATCAGACCTGAATTGGGGGGGAAACAATCAGTTGCCATCAATATATTGGTCAAAAGTTGATTAGATCAGCTGATCATGATTTTATTCTAATTACTGTGTACTTACATAATAAGAATGTGTAATTTCGAGCCCTTTGTGAATCTGGATATAAAAGTCTTCCCACAACTTGTTGATTATTTTGCTGCTATAAATTTCCACGTAATACGCCACTTTGTTAAGCTATCATTTGTGGCCAGTTTGCTTCTGAAAAGTAAGTTAATAGCCCAATGGGCTTTACCTGATAAGAAAAAAAGTGTAAATTGTATATATATTAAGGTGATTTGCTTACCTTTCCTATACTTTGCACTCCGATTGTGTTTTTGTATTGTTTGTTGTTGTAACATTCTTACCCTCACCTATACTGGACATCAGTGAAAAAGAGCTTTATAGCTCATTGGATTCCTCCAGTATAAGTAAATAATTCTGCATCATTAGACCTCCTTTGCCAGTACCAAAACATAATAATAGGGGTGTTCCCCTTTTTTCTGGTAACAAAACAGAAATATTTTTACAAGTAATCATGTGTGCACTAACCACAATAGTTGTGGTCAAAATGCAAACAAAAAACACACTGATAATATATGCATTGTCAATCTTGATTTGAAGCTTTCGTGACTGCAGGAATCCATACTCTTTGGTTCTTTTGGTAAAGTCATGTAGGTATAAGATAAAATAAATCACGACGTTTCGGGCGCAACACAAGCATCCATCATCAGGTGGGAAAGCATGGTCTGCTGCTGAGGCAGACTGTTTTAAAAGGTTTGAAATGGGTGTAGCTCAAGGGTTATAAAGAAGTGGCCAGGGCTAGTGATGTTAATGTGATAAATTAGCATGTAACTGTAGAAAAGGAGAGCAGCCTCCTCGACGAGGGAGTGCAACCCAACGGGTGTAATCCGAAGGGCCTGTGAGTATGAGAGTGCAATCCAAAAGACATGTGAGCATGAGAGATCTAAGAGAGTGGCAAAGAGAGAGAGACACAGAGAGTCGAAATAACAGCTGACATATGCAGGTTAGATGGAAACATCACAGTCAATTAAGACTTTACCTGGTTAATAACATCCTTCCAATGATTGCTCAGTTTGTACCCATCCTCTTGGTTGAAGTTGTGTCTGTGTTTATATATCTGGGGGCTTCATGAACAAATCTCTCAAGGTAGCCGGTAGGTTTGCAGAGTACCTCCGTCTTGGAAAAAATCAATTTAGTGTGAGCCCAGTGTTAAAACAATGATCAGCAACGGCAGAGGTATTGGTCCTACCGTGTTTCAGATCTGCCTTGTGTTCACGGACGCGGTCCGAGCCATGTCGTTTCGTTTCCCCAATGTAACTGCTGCCGCAACCACAGCTCAGTTTGTAGACACCAGGGTATTACATGTCAGGAATCACATCTTTTACAGATGGGATTAAATCACGGATTTTGTGTACTGTATTGAAACGAACCTGGATCTTGTGTTTGTTTAAGATTTTGGAAATCTTTTTGGTGACCTCTGCTATGTACAGTAAAGTGATGGTTTTGGTTGGATCTTCAGAAGGTTGTCTCCGCATGGCTGGGGAGACAGCTTTGCGGATTGTACAGTTCGAGTATCCGTTCATCCATGAGGGCTTGGTGTACGTGCTCCAACTCACTGGCTAGGTGGTGCTGGTCGGAGATGCAACGGGCCCTATGGTGTAGTGTTTTGATAAGGGAATTCTTCTGGGCTGGATGGTGGTGGGAGTCAGGTTTTAGATAGGCATCTGTGTGGGTGGCTTTCCTATAGACCGAAAGTCCCAACGAGATATCAGGACTCTTCTCGATCAAAACATCCAGGAATGGTAGCTTGCCATCCTCTTCCACTTCCATGGTGCTGGCAGCCCATGTGGCCAGATGACAAACGTGTCATCTATGTATCTCTTCCACAAGGACGTAGGGTGGATGTCTGGATGGCATCTGTCTCAAGTTTTTCCATGAAAACATTCGCTATCACTAGCGATAAGGGAGAACCCATTGGGGTACCCTCATTGTCTGTAGAATGTACCATTCCAGGTGAAGTATGTGTTGGTAAGACAGTGCCTTACCAAAGTTGGTACATCTGGATTCAGTCCTTGTTGGACCAAGTCTTCAATGATTGCAATGGTGTCAAGTACAGGTACATTGGTGAACAGAGAGACTACATCGAAACTGACAAGCAAATCATCCGGAGACAGTGAGATGTCCTTGATTAGAGAAACCAAGTGAGCTGAGTTAAGTACAGCTTAGGTGGACTTGCCAATGAAAGGAAGCAGAGTCTCAGACAGAAATCAGGCTAGTTTGTAGGTGGGTGAATTAATGGTGGAGACGAAAGAACGGAGCGGGGTACCTACTTTGTGGATTTTTGGAAGGCCATAAAATCTGGGTGGTCTAGCAGCCAAAGGTTTTAGGGAGCTCTGCTTGGTCTGATCGATTAGAGAACTCGATTTATTGACGATATTGTTGGTTTTAGTAGCTAGGTAGTTGGTGGGATCTCTGTTGATTTTGGTATAGCTGCCATCATTAACATCATGCTAATCCCTCACATTAATATAGCCACTTCCGTGCCCTCGTCTAGGAGGCCGCTCTCCTATCTTACAGTTACATGCTAATTTCTCACATTAACATCACTAGCCCCGGACACTTCTTTATGACCCTTGAGCTACACCCATTTCAAACCTTTTAAAACAGTCTGCCTCAGCTGCAGACCATGCTTTCCCACCTGATGATGGACGCTTATGTTGTGCCTGAAACGTCGTGGTTTATTTTATTTTATACCTACGTGACTTTACCGAAAGAACCAAAGAGTATATGCATTGTCCTTGAAATTGATTGGTCCACAGAGACGGCTTTCTTTTGAGCCTCGTCTCAATTGGTGCTAGACCAGAGGATGCCAAAAGGCGTACAGCTCAAAGATAATGCACTGAGACGAGGCTCAAAAGAAAGCGTCTCTGGTGTGAACCAATCAGTTTCAAGGACAATGCATATTATCAGTGTGTTTTTTGTTCGCATTTTAACCACAAGTATTGTGGTTAATGCAGACATGATTCCTAGTAAAAAAGGTTTCAGTTTTGTTGCCAGAAAAAAGGGGAAAACCCCTATTATTAAATAATTCTGACCATACTTATCCACGCTGGTCTGTGTGTATTGATGAAGTGGGGACCAGGACTGGTTCAAATCTCATTCACCACTGATGTTAAAGCCATGACCAGAAATCCAATTCGGGTTGCAGAGTTCATTACACTGTGCCACCGCTGTGTCTGCCTTTGTCAAACTGATGAGTTTTTAATTTTTGTGCTTTCACAGATTGCCACTTGTCAAAGGTAAACGCGAATATTTTGCCGTGTCTTTACTCTCTTACCTCTGTAATGCGTTACTTGCAATCCACGAATTGATTTAGAGGATAAGCATTCTTGTGGGGTACGATACGGACCCAATTCGCACGTGGCTGGGGTGTTTGTTTCTTGACCACGTTACTTTTATGACGCACGATGTGTAATATTCAAACGTACAAATTTTGTATGATGTTGGTGCTATCAATATCTTCTGCACAACAAATATGTATCTGCTCTAATGAGGCTTGGAAGATAAACGGTAGTGTGTTTTTACCCATTTTTCTGAGTGTTTTGCCATGATTATACGGTCGAGTGTATAGAGTGAATCTCCTCTTATCTGTGTTGATATGGGGTCTCGGTGGAAAGATCGTTATCCGCAATAATCCACGCATTTTCTAATTTTATCCACATGAATTGGCTCAGGTAAACGTGGCTAACAGGGCAAAGTTGCCACAACTTCTGGGTTACGAGTTCCGCTCATCCACTCGTAAGTGTGCAGAACAGGATGAACGAAGTACATCTTAGAAACCCTTCCTGGTCGCTTCAATTCGGGTCCAACTATCAGATAAACACGCATCATCGGATTCATTTCCTGTAACCTACAGGTTTTTCGTCTCATCCGCAGAAAAGTACGGCTAAGAGGGCACATATTGCCTGATTTCTAGGTTATTCTTTTAATCCGTGCGTGGGCATGGACAAGCTTAGCATGTGTTGATGTGATTATGCAGTCGCAGCAGTACAATTATTATTGTTCTATATAGGTCAGGTCGAACCCATGTGTAGGCACAGATGTTCAGATGAACATGCCACGACAGTAAGAATGGACTTGCAGATAACAGCAAGGTTGGTGAATCAAGTGAGGAGTGCTAGATAACAGAAAGAGATGGAAATAGTAGGGTGGATAAGAGGTATTCACTGTCAAATAAAAGTGTTCAATTTGAACAAACATTTATTATACTTGTAATGAGAACATTGTATGTCTTAAGGCATTTTAATACATCTGTTTTTTTGTCTTAACAGCTGCAGAGAAAAAGAAAGTTGAGTTTGTGCAGGTGATTATGCTCGGTCTCTTATCCACTGCAATAACAAATTATGCACTGGCAATAGCTGAAATAACCTATGTTCTGAAAGGAATTTATAAAATGTTACAAATGGGCCCATATCCCTGATATTAATTTGGCCTCAGTAATCTCATCATAGCTGCTTAACGATCTCAAAAATCGGTTGTGACAGTCCACATCAAATTGGGTTGCATGCTGATGCGAAGGATATCGAAGCTGCGGGCTTCTCTTGAGTATTTGGCTACTGTACATTTCCACGTGATAAGCCACTTCGTTGTGCAATCATGTGGCGAGGTCGCTTCTGAAGAAGAGCTATCTCGCTCAGTGGGCCTTACCTCGTAAAGTAAAAATAGTTTAAACTTGATTTGAAGCTTTCGTGTCTGCAGGAATTACTCTTTGGTTCTTTCGGTAAAGTCACGTAGAAATAAAAATAAATTAAATAATACGACGTTTCGATTGCAACACAAGCAACCGTCATCAGGTAGAAAACAAACCTAGTGAACTTATAAATACAATGCAATACAACACAGAGAGTCGGCCAACACAACAGTCAGCACCTAGCGCCTCACCTGGTTGATTACGTTCTTCCAAAGATTGCTAAATTTGAGAGAGAGAGACAAAACACAGACACAGAGACACACAGACAGACACACAAGCAGAAAGAGACAACAGAGACACAGAGCGCGACAACATAGACACACAGAAACGTCGTATTATTTAATCTATTTTCTTTCTCCGTGACTTTACCGAAAGAAGCAAAGAGTAAAACTAGTTTGAGTTTAAAACAAGCTGCATGCACTGACAACTGTCAATAATGCACAGCGATGGTTTAAGTTGTGCACACGGGTGGAGGTGCCACGATGTGCACGACTCTTGCTGCTAAGCAATTTGTGATGTTATGCAGGTACACCCATGCATAAATCCGCACGACGCACGTGCAACATCAAACACCATAATCCACACACGTACAGTGACGTGTGCGTTTCCTAACGGCTGCCCCATGGTATTGTGTGGGACGCACCACATGGGCAGGTTTCTAAAGCTTGTGCCAGTGCACCCGCCCTGTGCTTAGCTCTGGTGACAGGTAGCTGTGGCCGTGCCAGGCGATGGTGGCTATGCACGTCACATGTAATTCAACACTTTTGAGGCAAGGGTTGATCACCACACAAACATAGTGAAACTCCCTTTCCCATGAGCGCCGAGGTGCCAAACCCTGTCTCAACAGGAGAAGGCAGTCCAGGAAGTGAACTAATCTCCATCAGTTTCCGTCTGTACGAGGGATGGAGTGTTGGCCCCCTCTCACAAGTATAATAAACACGAATCAATTGTCTGAAAATATTTAAATAAATAAACCCAATGCAGGACCCTTCTGAAAAATAGTTCTCGGCCTCATTGTTCTTTTTTTCCTGGATAAATAAATACGTATTAATATTATATATTAATTATAACATTGTGTCACGCAGGAGATCACCAAGATCAACACCGTGTTCGACGGAGAGGCTATAGACCCAGGTGAGTGAGCATCAACGTCTTCTCCAGTGTCACCTCTTTGCCTCTCTGTTCTTTAGTTTTTGTCAAAGTGATAACCCCACTAATGTATGCAGTGCCCAATGCCACCAGAACATTAGAATTATGTGCACAAAATACTCTCTTGCAACGCTCAGCCATTTCCCCCACAGGATATCGTGATGGGATTGATGTAGAGTCCTCTTAGGAAACTATTCTATAAAATGAATACATGGACAAAAGTATGTCTGTTATTGTAAAAATAAAATTGTATTTTAGTTTGCCGGCCTATTGGCCTTCCAAACAATGTTTTCCAGCAGCATTTGTTGAAACAAGAAAACTATGTACCGCTTTCGACTTTGAGTCTCATTAGCAGAGTCACGCCTACTAAATAAAGGTCGCTGGGTTGCCTGAAGCTAGAGATAAGAGCCATCTATACATATCGTAGAGACTTTAGACTTTGAGATTCACATTTGTACTCTATACAGACATTGACACTCCTTGCTGCCTACACAAGATGAATGCTGTCCATTTCCAAGATATTATGCCTGAATATCTGTTCACGTGATGCCTCTCTCAATATGACTAATTCGTGCATTCAAGTTTTACATTTGAGGCATGGGATGAGTTAAAATTAGTGTGAGCTTATTAAATGCAATTCTCATTTGCAGCAGTTTTGGTATGCGTATGTGATTCAACTGTAATTATTATATTTATCATCAACACAAGAGTTGCTGAAAAGGCTACCCCACTTTATGGATCACCAAAAAGTATTTCTAAGGCATCTCAGTCATGTGTCAATGAGATCGCGTCTACTCTGATTTCAGTGGGAGATTAAGTCATGGAAAGTGATCTCCATGATGTGCCAATCGCACATTGGGTATGGCTGGGTTTTCTAAGGGTGCTGTACTCTGCTAGCCTCCCACATGTAAGATACTCATCAATGAAACTGGCCCAAAAATCTCTCCCTGGTAATATGCACATTAAACTATAGTACAGACCTTTGCACATTTATTGTAAGATTAAGATCTTCCCAAACCGTCTTGGTCACTGGGGTAGTTTCACCATACTTGTCAATGTGAAGTATGGAAGAGGGTCAAGGAGGGGCTAGGCCTGATTCATTTACTTGACACTTACGTTAGCTGTGGTCGGAATCGTACTCGGGTCGCTGGGTTAACAGCGCAGCATGATAATCACTGTACCACCACTCGTTTTTTTTTCCAATTATAGTGGTAGCTTTTTAATAGCTTGTTTTATTTGATCAGGTGCGGCCCACTGAGCTATATAGTTTTTTTTCAGGAGCGGCCTGGCCACAAATTATAGCTCGACAAAATAGCTTATCATGTAGAAATTTTATCGCAGCCAAATACTCGAAACGTGTTTCTAAATGTGGAGGGAAAAACTTGATGACCCGGAGAAAAATCCTCGCGAGCACGTGGAGAGAGAAATGCAAACTCCAACTATATAGCAGACACCAGGGTCGGAATCGAACCCATATCCTCCTGTATACCAGGCAAAGGATTTAACATATCGCCATCGTGGCGCCCTTATATATAAATACAATAACAGTATACATATATGTAATAATGCCTTGGAACACACACACACAGCCAGTCTTTTGGGGAGGGTGGCATCACCCGTCGGGTTGTGATGATGTCTCTGGCCACCGCTCCAGTGACAGGGAAGACGTACGAGTACAACAGCACGTCGGGCGCTCGGCGCTGGAAGGAGACGTCGGCGCAAGCACCGCCACCAGCTCCCGCAAAGACTCCGGCTCCAGCCGCCGCTAGCAAGGGCACAGCCCCCGCTCCCACGGCCGCTCAAGCCGCGATACCTGGCAAGGCTCCGGCAGCTCCTGCTGCTGCTGCCCCAGCGGCGGCTGCTGCTGCTGCTCCAGCGGCGGCTGCTGCTGTTCCTCCAGCAGTTGCGCCTCCTCCTGCTGCTACTGTTGCACGAGCAGCTCCTCCTCCCGCTGCTGCTGCTGCTGCTCCTTCTCCTGCTGCTCCTGCTGCCCCGGCCACCAAGCCTGCACGAGCTAACTCACCGCAGGCTCCACCAAAGAGCTCAATGAAAGCGGAGCCACCCAAGCCGAGCGACCCACGGAAACCCGATAAACCCAACAGATGAACACTGCAGGCTTCAGTGCGTTTCCAATCGTCAAGCATAAGTCAATATCACGTATACCACTAAATAGGACACGTTTAAAGAACAAGGCAATGAAAGGGGAAGCCTTAATGTAACATTTCACTATTTGTTATAAATGATTGGTTATTCGCAAAGAACGTGTTATACAACTGTTGAGGTTATATCAGTGACAATCTTCATGCAATAAAGAGAAAAACAGCCAAGACTAGAGTACATTTTTATTAAACATCCCAAAATTCGTTGCAGGCCCACTAGATCACGTTCACTGGAGCCTGATCTAACATCAGCATTAAACATGTACAGCCAGGTCTAGTTACATTCTCCCGAGCAAAAGCAGCATGGCAGCGTACATAGTTTGTATCAAAATAAAATAAATCACGACGTTTTGGGCGCAACACCCGAAACGTCGTGATTTATTTTATTTTATACCTACGTGACTTTACCGAAAGAACCAAAGTGTATGGATTCCTGCAGTCACGAAAGCTTCAAATCAAGATAGTTTGTATTACTTATCAGTTCAATACAGGCTGATTTCTACTGTCATGCCTGTGTATAGTCCAGAGATCGTTAACCAATATAACAAGAAAATACATTTTTTTCGAATTCGGTAGAGAAAAAACTCAGTATTTTACGATCCGCAATGCAATGTGAATCTGAGACTTGCGGCACCAGAGCCGCAGGTTGCCAACCCCTGGTCTAGTACTGTAATATGATAAGCTCTCTCTACACAGTCACCCATTCAAGTGGAAATTGTTACAGTCTAAAGTCCTGGGGAACAGGTATAATATCATCTGGCAGCATGCAATTATATTTCCTTAGCTGAAAGAAGTGTCAAAGACATACTTAAAAAATGATACGTGAAGGTGAAATATAATTAACCTGCCCAACATCTATGTAAACCCCTAACTACTTGGCAGGCCAACTGAAGCATGTTGTGCAAGTCACCTTAACTACCCAGAACCATGAAAATATACATGGTGTCTTTAACGGTGCCTCCATTGTGAAATAATTATAATTAGACATTTTAAGCTAAGCTGATCAAACTACACTCACACGTTCTACTATTAAGATTGCCATTGCATAAGTTGCATCTCTCTGAACCTCCACACTCGCTCCTTGTGCCTTGGCAACTCCGTAGAGGTTTGTGAAAGTCCCAGGGAATTGCCAACATCTCAGTTGTGCCATCTCAGCTTTCTGACAACTGAGCCACACGACAATCACAGGTGATGCTTTTTTAAAGAGTCACTCCCTTTTGGTAATTTCCTTAAATTGGTTTATTCTTCAGTGGCACCGCTTGAAAACCAGTCGTGAACATCTTAGCACCCAACTTTAAAGTGGCATGATATGATGTAAGCACTGACATACTCTGCACTTTATAGTTGAACAGTAGATTTTGATCCACATGATCATTCATAGTAAATACATCAGCAACAGGGAAGTATTTTCAAAGTGAAAGCATGTGGAAAACTAGTATTGTAATATTGTTTCGTGATTTTCATTACAAGCTGTATCTCGTAGCAGTATGATACATGATGATTTCTATATGTGTTTTTCATGAGAATTATTAATGTCCCATTGCTGTGGTGCATGATCCGCTTTAACGATCTTAAAACTCCGGATCTCACTCCCCACAATAATTCGTATTTTAGTGTCTGCCAACAGGGTTGGCATGAAGATTGGGTTTTAGGAAAGGTGGCACAAGGATTAGAGATGTTTGGTCATCTTGTACTAGCAACTCTTTACTGCTGGGACACTACAGGGAGCGGAGTAGAGTCAAGAGTTGTAATGCTTGTAAAACCAAAAGTAATGGGAAAAGGCAGAGAGAAGAAAACGAATGGCAAATAAAAGAGGGACAATTATGGAAAATGTAAAAATGGGAGCAAATGGTCAGGAAACATGAGGGTATGGAGGAAGAAGCTACATAAGGTGCTCGACGCTGCACGGAAGCAGCATCTATTTTCAAAGGGGGCAAGGAGAGGGGAGGAAGTCAGTGGCCACACAGACGTCACTGGATTTACCGGGGGCTTAAGCCGATCGAGATATTGAAATCATTGCCTGCATTCGATCCACAGGTGTTTTATTGACAGGAGATATTTTATATCATGAATATACATCTCTTGCTTAAACATCAGGAAAAGTAAAAAAAATCTCGCCAGAACTGTTTTCTGTTTAAAATACGAATGGAGTGAAAATGAGCATTGATTAAACATATAGTACAGTATTTTTAAAATGTTTGCTTTAAATGTATAAACGTTGGGGATTTCCCCCAAAATTTACTCTTTTTTAAAACTGAAATAAAAATGAAGTGAAACTCACATTTTTTTATTTGAAGCTTTCGTGACTGCAGGAATCTATACATACCCTTTGGTTCTTTCGGTAAAGTCACATAGGTAGAAAAATAAAACAAAATAAAAATTATATATCACGACGTTCCAATCGCAACACAAGCGGTCGTCCTCAGGCGGAACAAATAATCCAGCAGTGGAACTGCTGAGCCAGTGAGAGAGCTGTTGCAACAAGGAGGTTATATATGTGGCGATGGGCAAGCAAGTGGGGTCTGAGCTGGAAAGGAATTCTATCCGTGGACGCAAGCACGTCAGTTGTGTTAAAGGGGGAGATTATGGAGAGAGAGATTAGGGAGATGAGTATGAATGAGCTTCCGTCGCCACATAAGAGTATCATCCTCCCATATGCGCACAACAGCAGTGTTAATGAGAGATTAGCACCATGAGAGTGCAATCCAAAGGACATGTGAGCATGAGAGTACAATCCAAAGGGCATGTGGGCATGAGCGTGCAATTCAAAGGGCATGCGAGCATGAGAGTGCAATCCAAAGGGCATGTGAGCATGAGAGTGCAATCCAAAGGATATGTGAGAGATCTAAGAGAGAGGCACAGAGAGTCGGAAATAACAGCTGACATAGGCAGGTAGGATGGAAACATCACGGTCAGCTAAGACGTTACCTGGTTAATAACGTCCTTCCAATGATTGCTTGGTTTATACCCATCTTCTCGGTTGAAGTTGTGTCTGTGTTGAAATATCTGGATGGCTTCATGAACAATATCTCTGAAAGTGGGTTTGCAGAGTACCTTCGTGTTGGAAAAATTAAATTTCGTGTGAGCCCACAGTGTTAAAACAATGATCAGCAACGGCAGAGGTATTGGTCCTACCGTATTTCAGATCTGCCTTGTGTTAACGAACGCAGTCCGAGACATGTCGTTTTGTTTCCCTAATGTAACTGCTGCCACAACCACAACTCAGTTTGTAGACACCAGGGTATTGCATGTCAGGAATAACATCCTTTACAGATGGGATCAAATCACGGATTTTGTGTACTGTGTTGAAACGAACATGGATCTTGTTTGTTTAAGATTTTGGAAATATTTTGGTAACCCCTGCTATGTATGGTAAAGTGATGGTTATGGTTGGATCCTCAGAAGGTTGTCTCCCCATGGCTGGGGAGACAGCTTTGCAGATTGTACGGTCAGAGTATCCGTTCATCCTGAGGGCTTGGTGTACGTGCTCCAATTCACTGGCTAAGTGGTGCTGGTCGGAGATGCAACTGGCCCTATGGTGTAGTGTTTTGATGAGGGAATTCTTCTGGGCTGGATGGTGGTGGGAGTCAGGCTTTAGATATGCATCCGTGTGGGTGGTTTTCCTGTAGACAGAGTGTCCCAACGAGCCATCAAGCCTCTTCTTGATCAAAACATCCAGGAATGGTAGCTTGCCATCCTTTTCCACTTCCATGGTAAATTTGATAGAGGGGTGTATGTAATTGATGTGCTTGAGAAATTGGTTCAGTGCTGGCAGGCCATGTGGCCAGATGACAAACGTGTCATCTATGTATATCTTCCACAAGGAAGGACGTAGTGTGGATGTCTGGATGGCATCTGTCTCAAATTTCTCCATGAAAACATTCTCGACCACTGGCGATAACGGAGAACCCATTGGGGTACCCTCATTTTGTTTGTAGAATGCACCATTCCAGGTGAAGTAAGTGTTGGTAAGGCAGTGCCTTACCAAAGTTGGTGCATCTGGATTCAGTCCTTGTTGGGCCAAGTCTTCAATGATTGCAATGGTGTCAGGTACAGGTACCTTGAACAGGGAGACATCGAAACTGACAAGCAAATCATCTAGAGACAGCGAGATGTCCTTGATTAGAGAAACCAAGTGAGCCGAGTTAAGTACAGCTGAGGTGGTCTTGCCCATGAAAGGAAGCAGGGTCTCAGACAGAAATCGGGCCAGTTTGTAGGTGGGTGAGTTAATGGTGGAGACGGTAGGACGGAGCGGGGTACCTACTTTGTGGATTTTTGGAAGGCCATAAAATCTGGGTGGTCTAGCAGCCAAAGTGTTTAGGGAGCTCTGCTTGGACTGATCGATTAGAGAAGTCGAATTAGTGATGATATTGTTTTTTTTGTGGCTAGGCGGTTGGTGGGATCTCTGTTGATTTTGGTATAGCTGCCATCATTAAGAAGGTCCTGAATTGTGTTGTTCTAAGTGGTGTAATCCATGATGACAGTGGCATTGCCCTTGTCGGCTGAGAGGATGACAATGTCATCTGTTTTTTTTTATTTAGAGAGTTCAAAACGCTTGTCCTTACTGATGTTGCTAATGGGTTTCTTAGCGTTTTTGAGGATAGCAGCGATATCAGATCTAGCAATGTTTGCCGGGATGTATCCCAAACCTTTGAAGGCTACGTCGACCTGAGCAATATCATCCACTGGGATTTGTTTAGGGGTGACTGCGAAATTCAACTCTTTAGCTAGTACTGATTTTAG